CAGCTGATTCTTTTACTTTCATCTGCGGGCAATATTACTTGTTGTAATAATCTCTGCCAGCAACTCTTTTATCCTTCAGAAATTGGAGTTGTTTTCTCAGATATTTCTTGACCTCAGAAATCTAGTATGGAGAGAGACTTGGCTACTTTTTTTTTTCATGATTATAATTCAAGAAATGACTGTAACTGGGATGGTACAAAAATTGGGGTTTAGGGGCCTTTGGTGGTACACCTGCCTAGAAGGGCGCTACACCTGCCTAGGTCTCACTGCAAGTGTGCCTAGGTCCAAGGTGCCTGCACAAGCACTAGTGTCTTCAGCGATAGGGCCCATTCATACTGCCCAGCTGTGTTGCTGCCATGCTGGGAACCTTGCTGTAGGGCAGTATTTTCAAGACAAGGTCTGTGGAGCCTCTCTGAATGAGTCATTGGGGATGCTTGTGAGAAATACAGATTCAACACAATTATTGATCAGACCCAGTGAGGGATGGGATCTGAACAACTGTATTGTTATTACAATGATACATTTGTACCCTAAAGTGTGGCCCTAACACAGATATCCTTGCCTTACATCAAATTTTCCATCTTCTGTGTTCCTTTTTATGAGTGAGGACAATCTGGGTGAGTCTTAATATTACTTAGGATAGGCCTGAGTGATCCAGAATATGGCATTGACTTCTGTGTGAGAATTAGGTAAAAGAAAAAAGAAATGTATTTTGTAGCTCTTTTTATTACTACTTTCACAGTAGTAAATCTGCACAAGGCGGCTTATGAAATGGCTTTTGGGTACAGATTTCTCACACTTGGTCACAAAAGATCTGCCCAGTGAACTGGCGGCCTTCCCAATCAGTTTCTCACTGTTCTGTAGACCTTTTGCTGCATCCACAATTAGGGTAATAGATGTCCCCTCCTCCCAAAGTGTCCTCTTCTTCTTTCCCTGGCAAATCCTTATCTACCTGTCAAAAGGCTAACACACTAAGACACATCATAATTAAATTACCCAGGATAAAAGATAAGGAGAGAATCTTAAAAGCAGCAAGAAAAAAGGAGACAGTTACTTACGAAGGAGTTCCCATAAGACTATCAACTGATTTCTCAAAAGAGACCTTGCAGTCAAGAAGGGGCTAGAAAGAAGTATTCAAAGTCAAGAAAGGCAAGGACCTACAACCTAGATTACTCTATCCAGCAAAACTTTCATTTAGAATGGAAGGGCAGATAAAGTGCTTCCCAGACAAGGTCAGGTTAAAGGAATTCATCATCACCAAACCCTTATTATATAAAATGTTAAAGGGATTTATCTAAGAAAAAGAAGATGATCAAAACTATAAACAGTAAAATGACAACAAACTCACAACTATCAACAACTGAACCTAAAAAAAACAAAAACAAACTAAGCAAACAACTAGAACAGGAACAGAACCACAGAAATGGATATCACAGGGAGGGTTATCAATGGGGAGGGGAAGAGAGAAGAGTGGAAGGAAAGGTACAGGGAATAAGAAGCATAAATGGTAGGTACAAAATTGACAGGGGGAGGTTGAGAATAGTATAGGAAATGGAGAAGCCAAAGAACTTACACGTAGGACTCATGGACATGAACTAAGGGTGGGGGGAATGCTAGAGGGAAGGGGGCCCAAATATAAATGTGATTTCAGCTTGACTTACTGAACCATGCAGACTTGTGTACCTGGCTTCCCTAACTTGGTAACTCATGTAAAGGAGCATTCTACAGCCAATCCTCCCCTTCGTGTGGTTCATGTGGAGCATGGGTCACGTCTCACAGTTATCTCAGCACTTCGGAATGTGCTCTCACCCTTTCTGCCAAAGGGCTGGCTACCAGTCAGGACTGTTGCTGCACAGCGGTTGAAAATTGCTGACGTTAGCTTCTGGATGAGTGCTAGGGAATGTTAGAGTCTTTATTTAAGAAGAGAAAAAGAAAAATCCTGAGGAGCTGGGTTACCCCATACAACCATGGTGAGAAAGGAGGTGACACCTGAGCTGGGCCTTACAAAAACGGGTAGACTTTGTATTAACATAAACAGTACCGTGTTCCCTGCTCGCACGCTCTCTCCTTCTCTCTCTCCGCCCCATGATGTGTGTGCATTTGTGTCTGTGTGTACTTCCCCATGGCAGCATTCCTATGAAATTACCTTAAACAACAGCATTAAGTAAGAGTGTCAGGAGCAGTAAATATAGTAGGTAAGTTTATGTCATGAAAAATTGAGAAATGAAGTAGGATGAAGGTCTGGGCAACTGCTCTCATTATCTATTTGTTTTGTAATCTACCCTGAATCACAAAATTTAAAACAACATTCATGTCTTGCCTCGGTTTAGTTGGGCAATTCTTTCTTGGTGTCAGTTCCCCTCACTAGGTTGCTGTTGGATCGTGGCTGGGACAAAGGTTTCTCATTATGTACATGGTGCCTTATTTGTGATGGCTGGAATAGACAAGGGCAGCTGGGTCCTGTGTCTTCACATGGTTTTTCCACACTCCTGGCTTGGGATTCCTCATTTCACGGTCTCCTTAGGATAGAGTACAACTAGAGTACAGGTAGCTCGTTTTCCCCCAAATGTGTTCCCAGAGAACTAGCCCAGGCCAAAGCTGCAAGGCTTCTTATGACTTAACTTTGGAGATTGTGCAATGTTACTTTTGCTGTATTCTCTTGGTCAGTGAAGATACAGGTCAGCCAGAAGTCAAGAAAATGGAGAAACAGACTCTACCTCTCTGTGAGAAAGTGGCTTGTGCACACGTGGTGTGGGTGCAACACGTGGTGTTGAAGGGGCTTGGTGGTAACATCCTTGGAGACCAGCTCCTATGCATCCTTGCATTTTTTCCCCAGCCCTATACCCCTTTACCCCAAACTTGTATTAAAATAAGTATGCATTCTAATTGTAGCTGGATCTATATTTTATTTCATTCTTAGACTAAGAAAACCTATTGGTGTTTACCTTGATTTGACTCTGCTAGCAAACTGACCTTTTATTTTCTCTTAGATATAGTATTTCTTTTTTTTAAGATTTTATTTATTTACTTTTAGAGAGGGAAGGGAGGGAGATAGAGAGAGAGAGACATCAATGTGCGGTTGCTGGGGGTCATGGCCTGCAACCCAGGCATGTACCCTGGCTGGGAATCGAACCTACGACACTTTGGTTCACAGCCCTCGCTCAATCCACTGAGCTATGCCAGCCAGGGTGATATAGTATTTCTTTATGATAATCATTTCCGACACTACTTTTTCATATGTTAGAAATTGGCATTGTTTCCTCAGGAATTTCCTGTGCTCAGAATTTTAGTGGGAAGATTTGGCTATTTTGTCTACATGATTATAACTTAAGAAATGACCATAATTGGGGTGGTACAAAAACTGGAGTTTGGGCGGGGGCTGGTACTATAAACATTATGTTTGCTATAATTAACCTGTTTCTGAGGCTGTGGAATTCTTCCTGCATTTTGTGTCCTAGTAGAATTTCAGAGGTGGGGTTAGGGGGAGTTTAGATATGTTTAAGAAGTTCAAAGTTTTTATTCCAAACCAGTACCGTTTTAAAAGTGCTATCTTTAGTCCTTTTTTTGAAAATTACAAAATAAGTTATTTAGAAAAGACAGAATTTCATTAACTTTGGATTGAATCTATATACATAACAGAATATGCAGTGTAGTTTTCTTGTTATTCCAGAATTGTGGCTGAAAACAAAAGGCATGGAACCTACCTCCTTGTAGTTTCAGAGAAGCAATCAGTAATAGGAGCAAGTACCTGGCACCTGCATTCCTAGTTTATTGAACGATGCTAAAGAAGAAAAGTGGGCCTCTTCTCTCCCTGCCTTCTTTTAGGAGGACGAACACCCTTGAGTAAGGATTCCTGTCAACCTACCACTGGCTACTCTAGGAGAAACAAAATCAAACAATTGGGGAGCACTGCCAGGATATGCCTGTGGTGGGAACTGTCTGTTGGAGATAGGGCCAGAATCCCTTTGCTTAAATTTACAAATTCAAAAATGTACAAAAGTTACAGCCTGTGTTTGCCTGCGCACCTGAGAGTTGGCCATGCAGAGATGAGATTGTTGGCTCTAATCTTGTGAGAAGTGGCAAACTTTGGGACAGAGAGGTGAATACATCAGGGTAATGTGGCAGGGCGTCAGTAATGGAGTGTGGGTAGGGTCCTGTGGACCATATAGGCCTGGAGGAGCATTCTGTAGTCCAGATTGGCTGGACATTAGGCTGTGTGAAGGGGATGTTGAGGCCGGGCGGGTAGTGTATATCAAACAGTAGTGGTGACTGAGGTTAGTGGTGCTGCTAGTCAGTAATGGCTTGCTGAATGAATGAATAAAAGAATGAAGTGATCGGATTGCCAAGGGTGTATCCTTCTCTCATGTACTAAGCAATGGACCGCCAGTAAGGATTCTATTTAGAAGGGAATGACATGGGCTGAATTATGTCTCAGGAACATTATTAAGGATTCTTATTCCCACGCTTAGAAGAATTAACTTAGCCAGAAGGTTTGACCAAAGAACAGTAGCAGGACCTAAGGGCCACACTTCTGCCTCTGCACAAATTTCAATTAAGGTACCCTGGTTGATTCCAGCATCAACACTTACTGAGGGGTATTTTCTACCCCTAGGTTCTTCAGGCATTTGTAATTCCCAATTCCCTGGACGACTTTAACTGCTTGGAAACCGTTTCTGGCGGGACCATGAGAGGAAACAGACAGTATAAGACCTCCACAACCCAAGGGATATTGCGTCGTTGCAATCACCCATTCCTACCTTGACGACCTGCACCTTTCTCGTTCTCGCACCTGTGTCAGTGGCAAACGCTTCTAAACCTCCACACCACCAGGGGGCGAACGGGGTCACTGACCCATCTAGCTCCTAGGCGCGCTCTCTCTTTCGCCGCGCGGGGCTAGGCCACCTCTACGAAGGCAGAAGCCACGTCAGAGATCTTCGCCGACCAATCAGAACTGTCTATGTACTAGCGGGGGTGGGGCTGCCGCGGCCGGAGGAAGATGGCGGTGTGGGTGAGGTGAGGTGTAGACAGTAGAAAGGGGTTCAAGCGTGAGGAACAGGGGGACGCAGAGCGATGGCTCGCGGCGGCCGCAGGGGTAGATAAAAAGGCATCGCGCCGCGGGTGTGGGAGGGAGGGAGGGTAGGACAGCCTGGCGCCACGAGAGTATGACGGGGCTGTACGAGCTGGTGTGGCGGGTGCTGCACGCTTTGCTTTGCCTGCACCGCACGCTCACCTACTGGCTCCGCGTTCGGTTCGGCACCTGGAACTGGCTCTGGCGGCGCTGCTGCCGCGCCGCCTCCGCCGCGGTCCTAGCGCCGCTCGTCTTCACGCTCCGCAAGCCCCCGGCTGTAGGCAGGAACCGCCGTCAGCACCGGCACCCGCGAGGGGGGCCGGGTCTGGGCGCCCCCCATCCCCGGCTGCGCTGGCGGGCGGACGGCCGTTCCCTGAAGAAGCTCCCGGTGCACATGGGCCTGGTGATCACCGAGGAAGAGCAGGAGACTAGCTTCTCGGACATCGCAAGCCTCGTGGTGTGGTGCATGGCCGTGGGCATCTCCTACATTAGCGTCTACGACCACCAAGGTGAGGCCTGGCGCGGGGAGGGAACCGGGGCGTCTCCAACCGCGGGGATCTCACATCCGGCAGGTGTACCCGGGGCTCACCGCAGACCTGCCGGCTCCGGCCCCTTAAGTGCATATTACAGTGTTAACGCTTTCGAGGGAGGGAAGCTTTGTTGGACACCTACTAAGCCCCTGAATTCAATTTAGTCGCTGTCTGTACGTTTTAAAAATATCTATTCTTCATAATTCCCACCTAAGGTAAATGGTATCTGTATACCTTTGTTTGACAAGTGAGGAATCTTGGCCAACAACATTCACTGATTTGTCCAAAGTCAAAAAGGTAGCAATAGAGATGCTGAAATTTTAGCCAGTCTGTGCTTTTCTACATATTTGCCCTTTTATTACATTACCGTGTTTCTTCAGAAAGGTTCAAGACACTGATCTGAAGCCACAGTCAGGCTGTGGAGGATTCATGCTTAAGTTGAGTGGTTGGGGCCAGGTGACATTTGAACTGAGCTTATGAAAATCATGTGAAACTGGATAGGGAGTACAGAAAACGGTCCTCACTGGCCACCATTGTACTTGACAAGTAATTGTCCTCTTACAGTTTTGATTGAGGGAATTTTCACCATAGAGAAGTTTTGTAAATACTCATCAGGCGGCTACAGACCTAAAGGATTGTGCTAATATGCATTATTATCCTTGAAATCTTCCCTTTAATTCCATGGACTCTCAGGCTTTCAGGGAGTAGACACATAGTCACGTAAATGACATGATCAATAACAAGAATGTTGGGAGTAGGAAACTACTCTGGGAGCAGGGGAGAGAGATTCTGAATGGGGCAACTTGAGAAGTTCAAGTGGAGAGATGCGATTTAGGGATTTACGCGGGACATTGAAGAGTGAGTAGGAGGTAGGTTGAGGAAGGTTCTAATTGCCAGTTTTGGGTTTCATTCAAATCCTGAAAGCAGTGGAACTTCCTTAAAGATGTGGTGAAAAGTATGACTTAGGAGTGTTGGTATGAAGGACGCAGACTAATATTTTATTCTCTCTGTTCTATAACTTAAATTACTGGTATGCTCCACAGACATTATATTGAATCTTTATCAGACAGGTGGTTTAAGTGTGGGTTTTTTTCAGAAGGGTGGGCTGAGGTCTGGCTAACTTTTAGAGGGTATTAGAGTAAACTTTGATTGCCCTACAACCTTTCTTGGTAATGTGATGTCTGGGTAGCCTGTCACTGTCAGTGATGATCTGCCCTGTGGGGTAAAGTTTAATGTACTCCGGCTGACATTTCCTGGAACTTGCCAGAGAACTCTGCAGAATAGAAATCCTGTAACAGATAGAGATACATTGCCTGGGAAACAAAGTAAGTGAAGCAGAAATGACAGTTAAAGCCTTTAAGCTATGTGGTGAATTGACTTAAAAGTAGATCACTTTATCCAGGTGAGTCTTCTAAACCCAAGGGCCTTTTGCCTTCTACTGGGAAGGAAAATGTAGAGCTGAATCGTGTAACTTGGGGACTGCCTGCTGACACAGATTGTAATATTTCGACACTTCCTTGTTCCGGCAGTTCCGGTTACTGAATTGCTGGTGGAATTCAGAAGTATCCTGTGTCATATTCACTATAAGAAAACAATAATTGTGAAAAGGAAGAAGTCCAGCTGACCAAATATTGACTGACAACCTAAAGGAATTTCACACAGCGTTTTCTGTGAATTAACTGAGAGCACTTGTGTCCTATACAAATCTGTTTTAATTATTTTGTAACGGACATTGTCAAAAATAAGAGACTTTCCATTTACTTATTCTTGCTTTTGATTGGTTGAGTCATTCATTTATTCATTTACCAGGTGACAGTTGGGCATCTGTTAAGTACCAGATACTATTCCAGACAAGTGGGTGCAGCAGTGAACAAAAAGACAGAAATCCCTCTGTTCTTGGAACTTAAATTTTAGTGGCAGTCTGACAAATATTGTAAGTTAGTAAAATATATAGTGTATTAGATCCTAAGTGTAATGACAAAAACTAAAACAGGGAAGGGGATAAAATGTTGAAAGTGAATGTTGGAGGTGGGGTGGAGTTTTATATACAGTAGCTCAGGAAACCCTCAGTGACTTTTCTCCCTTGTAAAGCTTTATTGAAATGATTTTAACTGTTTCTATATGACAACATAATAAAGGCAATCAGTGCAGATTAATTTTATTTTGGAAAACTTCTGGCTTCTCCACCAGTCTGCAATGATCTCTGCTAAACATTTGTTAAATGTGCTATAAAGCCAGCCTGTTCTGACATAGGAATACTGTATATTCTTGGAATTCTCCAACCATCAGTCTTCCGCTCACGATGAGTATAGCCCTGATAGGTGTGTGGGAGCAAGCCATGTGGGTGTGTGAAAAGTTCTTCTTTGCAGAGGAAGTATGGATTCTCCAGCTTTACTCAGTTTTCCCTAGCAACTTCCATTTTACCTATTTCTATATAAATATTTAACTTAGAAAAAATTCTAATGCCAAGTTTATTGAGTACCTTCTGTGATATAAAGCGCGGGAGTGCAATGAAGTACAAGAAATGGTGTCTCTGGAGGAGTCTACACTCAAATTAGGGATAGCTGCTAAAGATTATTACAAGCAAACATATATATACATGCCAGTGAGTGGCATTTTTAAAACGAAATATTCATTCTGATTATAATGGGCTCTAAATTATACTTAACCCTTAGACTGAAAAAATCCATTGATATTGCCCATAGTTTGACTCCTGCCAGCAAACTGGTTCTTTTACTTTCATCTGCTGGCAATATTACTTGTTGTAATAATTTCTGCCAGCAATTCTTTTATCCTTCAGAAATTGGAGTCGTTTTCTCAGATATTTCTTGACCTCAGAAATCTAGTATGGAGAGAGACTTGGCTACTTTTTTTTTTCTTGATTATAATTCAAGAAATGACTATAACTGGGATGGTATAAAAATTGGGGTTTGGGGGCTTTTGGTGGTACACCTGCTTAGAAAGGCGCTACACCTGCCTAGGTCTCACTGCAAGTGTGCCTAGGTCCTAGGTGCCTGGACATGCACTAGTATCTTCAGCGATAGGGCCCATTCATACTGCCCAGCTGTGTTGCTGCCATGCTGGGAACCTTGCTGTAGGGCAGTATTTTCAAGACAAGGTCTGTGGAGCCTCTCTGAATGAGTCATTGGGGATGCTTGTGAGAAATACAGATTCAACACAATTATTGATCAGACCCAGTGAGGGATGGGACCTGAACAACTGTATTGTTATTACAATGATACATTTGTACCCTAAAGTGTGGCCCTAACACAAATATCCTTGCCTTACATCAAATTTTCCATCTTCTGTGTTCCTTTTCATGAATGAGGACAATCTGGGTGAGTCTTAATATTACTTAGGATAGGCCTGAGTGATCCAGAATATGTCATTGACTTCTGTGTGAGAATTAGGTGAAAGAAAAAGGAAATGTATTTTGTAGTAGCTGTTTTTATTGTTACTTTCAGTGGTAAATCTGCACAAGGCGGCTTATGAAATGGCTTCTGGGTACAGATTTCTCACACTTGGTCGCAGAAGATCTGCCCAGTGAACTGCCAGCCTTCCCAACCAGTTTCTCACTGTTCTGTAGACCTTTTGCTGCATCCACAATTAGGTTCCTTGACATTCCCTCCCCCCAAAGTGCCGTCGTCTTTTCCTGGTGAAAGCTTATCCACCTGTCAAAAGGCTCACATGGATAAGTCCCTCCTAATTGTCATGTCATAGGGATTCTCTCTCTTGACTATTTCATTCTTAGTCTTCCTGTATCTTTGAATCTCCTAGAACTTTGTACATCTCTAAAGGTAGTTCTGTTTTGTAAAGTGCTAGCCATTAGTATATGTTCTTGGATTTCCTTCCAGATTGTGATTTCCTCAGATGCCTCTAGTCCTCATTTTTGTTTCTTTTACAGAGTGTAGCTGGGTGTTATGCATGTAGTCAGTATGTATTCCTTAAATTGACAGGAAGACTGCATTTTCTGTAACAGGAATAATAAACTGAGTTATAAATTGTTTCTCAACACAAATACTACCCAGAAACCTTAAAAAAAATGGAGGAAAGTGAACATAGTTTTTCCTAGTTTACTTATTTGGCACACTGACTCATGCTATGGGCAGTTATGATTTTATTAAGTAACATTTTCCTTATTCTGAAATACAGAGCTGCCAGAAGTGTTGAATATTGAAATATAAATGCGATTACACTTCAGTATAGCAAACAAGGGAAACCAGTACACCTGGCTTTCCTTATTTGGTAACTCATTTAAAGGAGCATTCTGTGCCTAACCTTCACCTTTGTATGATTCACTCCTAGCTCAGAATTTCACACTTGTCATAGCATTCTGGAATATCCTCCTCCTTTTTCTGCCGAGGGCTAGCTACCTGTCAGGAGGTTATGACAGATCTTTGTGTGTCCATTCAGACTACCACCTCCTAGACAGCCTGTCTTGACTGTTCCACCCCCACTTGTGCTGTCTTTGGAAAGTTCTGTTCTACTTTTAGCTTTTGAAAGGACCTCATTGTCTGTGTACCCTTCTATTTAACCAAACTACTTGATCAATGTGTAAAATAAACCTTTACTTAATATCCATAATTATTCTGTTGAACACTTACTGTGTACTAGGTACAATGCAAAGAAGTCCATGAAATCATCAGCAGTTTTGCACATCAAGAAACTGAGACTTAGAAAGCAGGAAACCACACCTAACAAGGAGAAGATCTAGAATTTGAATCAGATTTTATTCCCAAGATTGTGTACGGAACTATTGTGATGTACTGACTTCTGTACTGGTGGGAGAATGTGACCACAATGCAATCATTTTTTGGTACCGTTCCTGATTGCGTGCAGTCATCTTAGAGCCTTGGTAAGGTAGTCCATCTCTAGAGGACGGACGTGATTGGTAAAAGGTATTTCAAGGCAAGTAGAATTTTGTTCATACCACTAGTATAAATGTTCATCCTGTAAGCCATAGGACTCACTTTCCTTTT